TGCATAATACGATTTGACAGTAAATGTTTTTTAGATTAAGTGCAAAAATTTCTAATTTAAAATTAAATTCAACAATTCTTTATATTTTTAACAGGAAAAATGTTGAGATAAAACACTTGAAGTTGGTAATTAACATTAGCAAAATGTAATAATTGATTTCAGAGATGACGAATTTATTTTTTAAATGGAAATGCAAAAATTAAATTAGAAAAATCGGTCCTCTTGATTGTTACAAAGCTAAAAAAGCTGGTACAGTTATTTTTTTCGGCAATTTTTATTGTTTATGTAAAATAAAAGGTAGTTCATAAACTTTACCTTTAATAATGTATATTACTTTTATAACTTTGCATATTATATCATTCATAATTGTTGATAAGATTAGGGGTCACTACTCATTTATAAATACAACAAAGAAGGTTATTTTTTAAGAATAAAAACCTTATCATTAACTTTGGAAATTATCTGGTTCAATCTATAGAACATTTAAAATTAACATTTTTAAGCAAAATAACTTTTTGTAAATTAAAAATTAAGATTTAAAAGTACTTAAATTAAATAGTGAATAAGCAACAAATTTAATATTTGGTAAAAATTTGATTATAACTTTACTTTAGTCATTAAATTTTGCTAGGACACAATTAATAATGTAATAAAAATAAAACGTAATCAAATGGAATTATAACAAAATCTGAAATTGATTTTTTTTAATTCAAATTATTAAAGTATTTTTTTTTAATTTTATATCATATTTTCACATTTAATTAAGAGTAAAATGACACTTCCCTTCCATGTTTTGACTGTGGAGGGTTCACTTCTACCCCGTGCCAACAATTCTGTTAACATTAATTGATTTTATTGTATTTCAAACATAATAAAAGTAATAATTTGGTATAAATAGATAAACCGGATGTTTATTTAAATCATTTAACACTATTTGAATGTAATCATTAACATAGCACGGTATGCTTAAGAGTTATAGACAATTATTATTTTCTTATTATGTTTCAAAACAATAGTAGATAATTTATTTAAAAACTTTATTTAATGATCAATACAACGAGAACTTGTTAAATAAATGCGAAATTTTCAAACTGTCGCTTAATACCCAACACTTAGTTATTTTAGCCACATCAGTTATAATTGCAAAACTTAAAATTAAAATAACAGAATCCTGACAATTTAAAACGCTTCCTGTAAAAGTTTAACGTAGAAATGTTAAAATTTGATCGACAGAAGTTTATTATTAATAACAAAACTCATTTTCAAGTAATTTATTCTATAAATAGTTAAATAATGCAGAATCAGCAGAATTCGTCTTTAAACATATTAATAAATTTTAATTATCTAAGTACTTTTAGTTTTAACTCTATGTTCACAAGATACATATTATTTATATTATAAATTTATAAATAAATATTTAACTCTATAAAGTTTTTATTTCAATCGTTGTAACTTTGTATTTCAAACTTCATTATCCTTATGATTATACCTCACAAGTTAATGGAATAAATTATATTATATCATACAATGATTGGCCAGACTGATTTATTTGACTTTTTCTTTTTTGTATGTTTTTACTTTTAATGTTGGAAGTCAGAAATTATATCAACTTACTTTGGTATCCTGTGGATCAGGGTATTTCTTTTAATTGCACTGAAGTGCCTCTTCTTGGTAATCATCTTTGATATTGTATTTCATTTCTTACTTCTAATGTAAAATAATAAATGCTAAGTTAATTATTTGAGATCCTATTCATAACATAATAAGTAGCAAACAATTAGTTTTTTTTTTTATTTTATAATTTTTTAAAAACATTTTTAAAATTTTGATATTGGGTAGTTCTATTAGTTTTATCATAGTTATATATTTTGTTCGTTTTTCTAATAAAATTAAAGATTAAAAAAAAAGAAAAATGTTTTCCATCGTAATTAAGTTATTATAACTGACGTCAAAATATCAAAAGAGTAATTAGAGATGTTAAATTTGTACTCACATTCACTGACACTTAATTAAAATTTATACAAACAGTTAAATAGTTAATAATTTCATAATTGGTTATGCTGTCGAAGTAACAATAAAATAGTGTATGAACATTGTAGTAATACATTTCGTTAATAAATATTTTTCGTATTGGAGGCCTTTCACTACATTCTAAAATAAAATAATAATAAGACTGACGATTTTTTATTGATGTTTTAAAAACGTTTATTCTAATGTAAAAAAAAAAAAGTTTAAATAAAAAGTTCTCATTATAAATCTACTAATTAATCATGTATCATAATTAAGTACAATTCTTAATTGAGTCATTTGATTCGATTTGATCATTATCAGTACAGCTAACCGTTCAAATGTGATAAGTATGTATATAAGTATTGTCATTGACGAAAGAAATCGTGTCCGCGATGACTATAACATATATTGTTACGTACGTGTAGTGCCGTTGTTAACGTTTGTTATGTTTTTTTTTTTTTTTAACCGCATTGCGTGGACCACCGTGGCAGTTGGACACGTTTGTCGAATTACCGCGGTACAGCTTCAAGCATTTTTCCGGGTTTTTGAAAGGCGAAAGGTCGTCTGTGCATAGAAGACTGTCGTGGTCGTAATCGTTACAACAGTTGACGATGATAAACACGCCATGGATTTTCCCCGAGGGTATGAATAAAATAGAGTTTTGTGAATTCAAGTGAAATTAGTGTCCTCGTACGTTTAATACTTGAACGGGATAAATGTGTTATTGCAATGAAAGAGCCTGGCAATGTACCGGTGTCGGGGTGAAATGCATAGACTAGTGTAATATAAACGTCCGATGGTGGATGGTATCGCACAAAAAGCTACGGCGAAGTTGTTCGCGTAACACAAGATAAAAAAACCCACAGGAGATACCGCATTTATGTAGTAATTTCATAAAATAATGAGATTTCTCGACCATAATTCATAAACATGGTTCATATTGCATTATTTCTGTTTCTTGCCGTTCGTGATCTCGTACAGGCGCCCATACTCTGTTCTGCTAACAAATAACATAAATAACATTACGAAGAGAGTGCTGTTAATTTCAAACCGATGCACCACAATTTATTCCCAAAGGCCACCAGTGATGAAATTTAGATAAAATATCATTGGGAAAAAAACATGTCTTTTCACATTCGATTGATGTAGAGTGGCTAAAGGCCGTAAACTGAGCTTTTGTCACCGAAAGGGTGTTACAAGAGAAATAGTCCCCGGTGTTTTTCCGAAAACTCTTAGTGTTTTATATTTACTATCAAACTGGGGTTATGTTTTATGGCCAGGAAAAACATTTCGTTTAATAAAGCGCTTTAAATCCGGCTGCGGTAGTTAAAATTGAAGTAGCCGAAGATAATCTCATTAAATGAAATCTCATTTCCTCACATTGCACTTATTTGAACATTTTAGATTGTATTAAAATATAATTGATTGCAATATTATTCAAAAATAAATTACAAGTAAAAGATTGCAAGCACAACATATGTTAAATTTAAGCTTATAATAAATACTATAAGTAAAAAATATATCCCTATATTTTATCTTTTATGTGCAAATAGCCGCCGTAGTTATAAAATATGTTTCTTTTGTATTAAAATTTTCAATTTTCGATTTAGACTTTTATATCTTTTTTAAATAAATGTATAGATCAATACAAATATTTTGTATAAGTACTTTACTTTCATCCGACATACTCTTTTTAAAAATTGAACCATTTTACAAGGCGAGTTACATTTTTTTCCCAATTATTTATGGCTATACTTCAAGTCAAACAGAATCATATAGGAAGGAGAAGTAAGTACCCCCATTTAAATGTTCCCTTTTTTAAAAATAAATAAGATTTAAGTGTCAATTATAAATATTTTTTTTTTTTTTGGATAAATCCATACTTACAATTTTAATACACGTCTGATATAGAGGAAACTAAATATACAACTACTTTATAATTATTTATTATTTATTCCAATACAATATATTAAATATCAATTTCATATTAAATTTAATTACTATAATGTATATTTATTCATGTATAATACTTATAAATTACAAAAATAATAATCAGGATATAATTAAGAAAATAGAAGTTGATGTTGCTTTTGGATTAATCTAAAAATTTCCATTAAAAATTTAACTTTCAAATCTATATATTTGCACCGAAGCCTTTTTATGATATAACATTCACTCTTACATAACATACATACTAGTAATTTATTTTTTAAACGAGACGTTTTTTAGTGTTTTGTTAAAAAATAAGTCTTATTATTAATATTATGACATCGTCTTTTAATCATTTGAAAACAAAAAGAGCATAAAGTGCAAGAGAAATTTAAAACTCTGGTGAATTTTGTAAGTTCCAATAATAAACAAACAACATAATTTCCATTGGCGAATCACGAATTTACGGAATTTATCATCGAAATCAACGCCTACTCTACTGTTTTTAAACTCTAATACGTTTTAATCGTGAGCTGTGCGAAATAAAATCAAATAAACTTTGAACAATTACCGTATAATTACCGTTTACCGCCCTGAGCGCGTCGACATCTGCTAATTCTTTAAATATTTACGGAACCATTATTTGCCGGATGTCTCTCCATTCTCTTTTTATCGATTTCCTCTTATTTTTTACACTGTAGGTTACTATTACAAAAATTTTCAACAATCATCGTTATTAGCACGTAATCTGGTACAAAATTATAAACAAAACTGGACACTTAAATATTTATTACTTACATCACTTGGCGTCACGTTTTCTTTGATCCAACGTGCCACCAAACATACGGAACAATAGTTTATTACAATTTAAAACAATAACTAGGTGAGAGGTAATGTATTCTATAATTTAGTATGAAATGTAAAAAAAACTAATAAATTATGCATATGTTTCAAATGTTTTTAGTAATCTAACCGTTATTTGTGAATTTCTCTGTATACACAATTCAATATGCACGAGTACTAGAAAAATGATTTATTTATTTTTTCCTTTTTGTTCATAGATCGATCACAAGCACGATGGTCCGTCATTTGTTGATGACGAGCTTGTTAATCGTCACCGTCATACAAACGTACAATGTGGTAAGATCTCATTTTCTCCGTCTCTACCTTTTGTTACTCAATACACTACGGTTCTCGGAAATAAAGGAAACTCTAAACATTTTATTTTCTTACAGGTACATGGTGTGGATTACGACCGAGCTCTCTTCGTTAAGTCTGAGGATATACGAAAGGCTAGAGGTATGTCACCGAACACTGCTACGTAGTAGTCAGCGTATACTTATAAAAATATCAATGATTGAATATAACTTAATTCATTTTAAAATATAGAACTACACACTAAAGTGTCACGGATAGCCCCCAATTCCATGGATCAAACTGTCGATCATATACTCATGTGGTTGCAATCGAGATACCAACAAAACCAAAGACAAGGTAAGCACATTTATTCGAAACAACTGTCATAAAAGCACCATTATTGTTAAAAAGCTTAATAATGATCTAATGTATTAACAATGGTTTGGTATAACTATTTTATATAATAGCACGACTGTAATATTTTTTATACATGGCTTAAATATGTATTAAATATGTAAGAATATCAATGACTTAATATACAAATCAGGAAGCTTATAATTGTTTACAACTATTAATAAATAATATACTCCATTTATAACGTAAAATTAATTTCTAACTACGTTAATTTATTTTTTGAACGTTAAATATGATAAAATTGAAACTAGTTGAAAAATTCTAAAAGTAATTATGAACTATAATAATATTATACATGTCAGATGTTGTTTATTTTAATCGTAACATTTTCATTGACTTAATAGTAATATAAAAATTTTCGGCTCTAACAAAAAAGTTTTATTTATATCAATCAAATAAATTAACTAAATTTAGGTAGAGTTATACATAAATACTTCTTTTCAGTCTGGTAGATTATGAATTATTATAATAAATTAAGAAAATTTTTAATTAAAAACTTTTCTTCATACTTTATTTGCATAATCTTATAATCACAAATTTAAATGATTATAAATTTATGTTTACTTTCAAGCATTTCAACATAAGTACAATGTATTAAATTTCAGCTCGACAAAATACAGAGCCACAACGACCTCGACCTTTTGTAGCCCCGCAACAAGCTCAGGAATTTCGAGGTTATTTGCCACCACAACCTCCACCTCAACCGGAGTTCTCAATTCCACAACAGTTAAACCCTGCTCAACAGTCATCTACGTCGGTAGACAACAATCAATTTTTTCAAGCTGTCACGACCAGTGAACCAGAGAGCCCTTCAACTGAAGAAACTACGCCCAATTCACAAGCACCAAGTTTCTCTCAAATACCAAATTTCTCGCAGGCATCGAGTTTTTCACAAGGATCAAGTTTTACCCAGCAAACTACAACGTTTTCTAACGAACCATCTGAATTTCTAGCCACTAATCCACCATTAAATACCAATGCTGAAACACTTCAGACAGATCTAACCAACGTTGTACATCCACCCCACATTCATGAAATGACTGTACAATGTTCAAAAGATATGATGACAATCAATGTTGAATTCAATAGACCGTATGACGGTGTAATTTATTCAAAGGTAGAACTGATTTTGTTTAATATTGAACGATATAATATTAAAATAATATCTAACCTCCTTTTTTTAGATTAAAACGTTTTATTAAAACTTATTAATGTATTTTAGGGATTTTATAATAACCCAGAGTGCAGATACGTGACCCCAAATTCAGGTCAAACGAAATATTCATTCAAAGTTATGTTGAATTCATGCGGGACTCACTTTGTCGATGAATTCTCTTCTGGCAAACAAGCCTACCTGGAAAATGTGTTAGTCGTACAAAACGAACCGGGCATTCAAGAAGTAATGAAATATAGTCCACTAAAGTCATAATAATCGATTATAAACTTATGTGTCTGTACATTCAGGTATGGGATGTGATTCGTTCAGTGAGATGTTTGTGGGAAGGTAATTTGAACAAAGCTTTATCGATCGCATTGAACATTGGTACTCTAAACCAAGAAGTGGTGACATTTAGCGGCGATACTGCTACCGCTAGACTCGATATTCAAGTAAACTACAGACTTTTAATTAATTTATAAAAAAAAGTTTCATTTCATTTCAAAGTAAAAAAATATTAGGCTGGCAAAGGACCATTTGCTCCAATTGCAAACGGTTTAGTGAAAATCGGAGAAACAATGACTTTAGTTGTCACTGTGGATGGCGATCCAGGTTTCAACGTGTTAGTAAGAGAGTGCATAGCACGTGATAATGATCCAAATTCTGGCAATCAACTTCAGTTAACTGATAGTCAAGGATGCGTAGCCAAACCAAAACTTTTTGGTAGTTTCCAAACGACGACTAATCCGGCCACAGGCTCTTTAATAGCATACGCGTACTTCCAAGTAAAATAAATTATAATTTGTAAATAAACATCTATAGTAAACAATTCGTGTGTTTGATTTATTTGATAGGCGTTTAAATTCCCGGATGTTATGGACCTATTGATTGAGTGCAATGTAGAATTGTGTAAAGTAAACTGTCAGCCTTGTGGAAACTCTAACCAAGTAAGAGGTTTCAACCACGAGTTTAAACTTAACTTTTTACTTGTCATAAGGTTAAGTCGAAAAATAATAGGAAATTCTTCGTGAATTGTACAAATACAGAACAATAGTGTTTCAATATTTTGACGTCCCACGTTATGGAATCGTTCAAACGTTAAGCAATTTATTATTGATATTCATTTGTCAATAGTATGCTGAATTGTAACAATATTTTCTCTTTTCAACAAGTTTACCAAACCCATTCAGTTTTTAATTTCATTTTTAAATACTTACCATTTTAGTAGAACTTTTAATGAATATTGTGTTTTACATTTTTTCAATATTTTATTCTTTTAGACCGATTAGTCAATTATTTTTTAGATAGTTCACAATTTTTTTATTCTATTTAAAAATTACGTTAAATAGCTCTAATTTTTATTAAGTCTAACTTGATAGCGTTTTTAACTGATTACTTTTACTAGAACGTGATATAGGTAAACTGAGCTGAAATTAAATTAATAGCAAATAAATCAAAACCATTGTTTCTTTTACTCCGTTTTTATTATAAACAATGGCGTTAAATGTATTTCAGTGGTGCCGATCTCTATATACATGTATTGCTGTCACAATACAAATACATGCATTTGGTTAGTTGTATATTAGGGGATATGCTTTTCCTGATAAATGTCTGTATTTTTGCGGAAAAAATACTTTAATAATAAATAATGAGCAATAAATTTAAAAAGCATTTGAATGTAGTGGTAGCTGAGTGATTTTTTTTTTATCATACCCTTAAAAATTTTACATCAGTGCCACCGATATGTTGTTTTATTATGAACCTAAATATTTTACTATATGACAACAGTGAGTCTATGCCAATCGATAGTGGCTTTCACTTCTTGCATAGGTCACGAGTTCAATTTAACATAATATTATTTTATTCGTCTTATATTTTTTGTCCTACAGAAAATAGATCCCGGTCGTCGTAGAAGGCGAGACGTACATGGAAACAACACAGTTAACGCTAGTAATAGCAATGGAGATACTGATTCCATGATGTTGATTGGACGTGTACACGTTTATTCACCCGATGACTTGTTAGCTGACAATTTTAATCAGACTGGTATGGACCTCGTGGACCCATTTCAGTCATTTACATCAAGTAAATTAGTCATAGTACTCAATAATAGCATGATAAGTTTGTGGACATTTTTATTATCTCTTGATATTACAAACATTTTGACTAGAAAATAAACAACAATTTCAATAAACCATATAATATAATTTTTAAATATGACAAATCATACATTATTTCGTCTAGCTAACAGTAATACATAAAATAAAAATATTTTTGTAAAATAACTATTTATTAATTAAAAACATTTCTTTAATATATTAATTTATGTGAAAATGAAAAAATAGCTTATGAATAATTTTTGTGCCGTTAAAAATTTAAGCTGACATTTTATTTCTATTTAAAAAAAATTATTAATAGTAAATTTTTGTAACTTCAATTATCTAAACTATCGATTTTTGAAAGTTCATGTTAGTGATTCCTAAGCTAAAAATTTAATTTTAATATTGAATAATAAATTTATTAACGTAAGTGAAATGTCACATAGATACATCGGATTGCATTATTTATTTTTCACGAACAAAAGCAGCAACTATTATTTTTGTGTCATCGTGCAGTGCGTTGTTTAAAGGTCAAAAAGATCCTAGTGATAATGAAAAAACTTCGCATCATGCCCATTGTCCATATTCGAAACGCATAACTGATATTTTCTACGCACTAAGATATTTTCTTGGCTTTCCCTGTCTTTAAAATAAAAATTTTCCCTTTACGTTCAATTAATATTAATGGTATAAACTTGACTTTGGCATCATATATAACTATGTAAAAGTAACTCTTAATTTGACTGATTTAATTTTGTAATTGTGTTTAGTAATATTCATTCATCACATTATAAAATCTAATTTTTTTTTTATAATTGTATGGTGTATAAAATGTGGGATAAAGTTTTAAACATGCAATATCTTATTACTGATGATGCGAATGTTTGCTGCAACAAATGAAATGAACTTTAACGAAACTTTTTTTCTTATTACAGTCATAAAAAAACTGCGTATCTAATTAAATTTTTATCTAAATAGCATATTTTAATACAAGTATGCAACATGGTTTATTTGTTTAAGACGCTGAAAATTTAATTATTCTTTGTTTCACAATTATGTAAATTGTTTCAAGAACTATGTAGTTTTACATAAAAATTGGTATTGGAAATGACAATGAAATTACTTTACTTATAATAGAAATTTCAACAAAGAAAGTTTTAAATACATTTTATTCTTACGAGCAATCTCAGGATTTTAATGTCATGCTGTTTTTCCTTTATAAACAAAATATAATAATGTAAAAATGAATATGTGGTATAAACAATTAAATAGATATTATACTAACTGGGAACTAGTGGGTGGTTAGTATATTAGTACTTTAAACATCCTTAACTTAAATAATTAAATTTATATTTATATACTACCCTTAATTGAACAATGCACTACTTATAAAAAATTCAATAGTTATTTGGTAGGATTAAATAATGTGAAATGGGAATTATTATACTCGTTGTTATGGTAGTATTGTATACTTTTACCGTACAACTGGTTACAACTAAAAAATATTATATTAAAATAAATTTTATTTATTTTTTGTTTATTTAGCTGATAGGACATTATGTATGTCATCAAGGAAATTTTACTTCACATATTCATTCATGGTAGCGATGACATTAATATCAAGTGCAATAAGTATGACGCTTTGGATTCGCTTACAAAGAAAAGCATTTAAAGTTTAATTGAAAGATATTAAATTTTATGTAAAATAGAATATTTTTTTTAAACCAACAAATGTTATAACATGTTATTAAATATTCATAGTCAGAAGATTTACAATGGAAACTATAAAAATTTGTTAAAATCATAAACATAAAAATTCTTAATTATGACTATTTTTTTAATATAGTGCTATATTATCTTTTATAATTTATGCTTCTGTTTTAAAAACTATAAAAAAGCAATAATCATATGTACAATGAACCATGTTGCTTCATTATCTAATCTAATCTAATCTCTCGAAATTTGATTATAAACATATAAGTATACAACTTATTTTCTGAAACCTAAATCATTTTGGAACTAAAAAAAATAGTATATTTTGTGGTTATAAAATCAAACTAACATTTTAGAAATAAAATTTATAAAAACATTTGTATTTAAAGTTTTTTAATAATTAATAACTCTTTTAGATCATGAGAGATAATTTACTTTTATTTTAATATATTTATTTTAAGTGTATATATATATAGAAACATAAATCTATGTTATATTATTATTGTCATTATTGATTTGTAAATGTTTTAGTTTATGTATAAATTTTACTAATTGTCGCCATTTTTTGTATACCATTATTAGATTAATTATTTTCGTACATGTTAAGTTTATACTTCATTGGTAAATAAATGAATAAAATATGTTAAAAATACTTAACTAATGTGAACACATAATTTTGTACTAGTAGTAACCTAAATTTGTACTTAATTTATTTTCATATGTGTTCAAAAAAATTTACATTTGACACAGAATTCAATTTGTTTTAGCTCTGATGCGAATCTGAAAAGGTATTAATTTTACTGATATGTGTTTATTTTTATTTGGTTTGGCATAAAGATAACGAAATATACAACTACTTTATAACTTTTTATAATTTCTCCGAGAAAGTCCTAATACAAAATATTAAATATCAATTTTATTAAATTTAATTACTGTAATTAGTATTTATTCGTGTATTATATTTATAAATTGTAAAACTAGTAAACAGAATATAATTAAGAAAGAAGGAGTTGAAGTTGCATTTGGGATAATTTACCAATATCTTAAAATTAAACACTATCTAAAGATTTGTATCGAAGCCTTTTTTATAATAGTTATTTTAATCACTGTAAAATATCTATACTTGTCATGATTTAACTAATTAGTTCATCCCTAATCACATCATTATCACATATGTGTAATACGAAAGTGATTAAATCGTCTGTATATATAAGTATATATTTGAGTGACTCTATTTGGTAACTATACTAATGCTATCTTATTTTATATAGACAAATCGTGTTGATATGAAAAAAACAATAGATAATTTTTTAATTTTCCTGGACATTATTCTAATGTTTCAGAATAATTTACCTGAATAAATAAACCCAACCTAGATATTTCATTATTTAAATATCCGGATTTGGAATTTTATTGCCTAATTTAGGTGATCTAAATTCGATATTAGAATTTTATTTCCGCATTCCTACCCTTACAAGGTCCATTCCAAAAGTACCCAAACTTTCCCCACACCACCAAGTGAAGCGGTCTCCTGAGGGTGGAATGGTGTCAGGGTGGTAGTGGGCACTTCCATCTATAAATCCAGATCTCACTCAGTCGGCTGCCAGCAGCGGTTTTGATGTGTATCACATTGAAGCCCTGCGAAGAAGTCGCGTCGAGATTTTAGTGGTGCTAAAAATAGAGCGAACATAAAAAAAGCATACGGTGATGAAGTGATGTCTCAGACGCAAGTTTATATGTGCACAGGGACTTTAAGGAAGGATGGGAGGCACTACTTGACGAACACCGTTCTGGGAGGCCATCAACGTCAAGAATGGACGACAACTTGCCTTGTGTGAAAGCTGTGTTCAACTCCGATAGGCAATCGAGTCTCCAGTTAATAGCTCAAGAAACAGGACTTCCTCAAGGACGGGACTCCTTGTGGGAGTTCAACATAGCTTTCACACAAGACACGTTGTCGTCCCTTCTTGACGTAGATGGCCTTCCAGAACGGAGTTCGCCATACGGTGCCTCCCGTCCTTCCATGAAGTACCCATGCCACATATAAATTTGCGTCCAAGACATTAATTCACCACCGTTGGTTTTTTTTAACATCGTTAAAGTCTCTGCAAAAGTTTTGTTTAATTTCACGCGAAACTTGATTGCATATCGCTACTATAATGCTCGCTTTATTTTTAGCACCACTGATGTCTCGACGCTACTTCTTCACAGAGCTTCAATGCGTGAACGATACATGTTGAACTGCTGCTCGCAGCCGACTGAATGGTGTCTGGGTTTGTAGATGGAAGTGCCCACTATCACCTTGACCACATTCCACCAGCCAAAGGCCGCTCCGCTCGAAAGTGCAGGGGAATTGGGATACTTTGGGAACGAACCTTGTACTTAGTCCGAGTTTTAAAAAATTAAGAAGTAAACAAAAATAAAATTAAAACAAATAGTTTACTAACGTAGGATTTTAATAGATTTAATTTACTAATTTTAGTCAATTATTTGTCATTGTTAAATCTATAAATTACATATGTAAATCAAGTAAATATTTTATTAAAAAAAAATTGAATCTATATATAATAAATATGTTACAAGTGTACTAAATTATGTTTTTTTCAAATTAATCAACTTTTATTCTATGAAAGTCATTGTGGCAAATTAATCGAAAGATTCGGGTTTTTTATAGTGTCAATAAGGACCCCCTAATCTTTAGATTACTTACAAATTTCATGAATTAAGATGTTTTGAAATGAAAGGTTTAGTACAATAACTATCAATGTAATTTTTTTTATGCATAATTTAATATTTTCTAATAAAAAATAATTGTTTAAATAGTTTTATCTGATTTTACAACATACCATTTTTTTGATATAATTTAGTAGTGTTAGCAAATATTCTAGATACTTAAATTATATAGTTTTTTACACTACCCAAATAATTTTCATATATGAACAAGATTGGTTATTGTACTAAAGTCTAGTGCAATATTTGGAAAAATTTAATTAAAGTTTTTAGATTATAATCCATAAATCTTGGGATTTAGTAATTTTCATTGGAATATGCAACGGCCTCTAGTGGCAGATTTTGGTAGTCATACAAATAAACTAATTATGTGTTTATTGCAACACATAATATTTATTATCATATATTATATGATAACAAATTGCGTACTATGAGTCGTAATTATATTTATTTTATTTGAAAAATTCCTACCTACTGGAACTTCACATGCGGAGTGCGATAGTAACTATTATTAATTTCTAGTATTCAACCTTCAGTGTTGTAAAAATAATGTACCATTCTCCTAAACATTTTTTAAATTCTGTTTTCCTTAGAATATATATAAGATTGCGATTAGTCTTTAAAATTTGTAATTAAAAGAAAAATTTTAAACATTGACTATTTCATGAAATTTTTTACGTATGGTAAGTAGTTTAATTAATTTTAGACACTTAAATGATCTATAATTTTATATCAAAAGTTTAATAATATTTTTTGTGCATTTGTATTTTTTGAATTTTACAATTCTATTACAAGACTATTTGGTATACACAATAAAGAAAAACTAAAAATTTCTACTACATTTAAAATCATTTATTAAGAAATTTATACTCCTGTTACTATCTTCATTTTTGAAATTAAAATCTCAAATTTCTGAGAACTATTCTAGTTTATTGTTAAACCAAGGCTATTATTTATTGAAAATTTTTTATTTTATCAATTAACAAATTAGTTAAAATAGAAAATATTGTTTTAAATTTTTACAAAATTCCATTTTGATATTTGAAGACTTTTATAGTTTAAAAGTTTGTTTTTATTACCCTCAATTTTTATTTAGTGAAAGTCTTAACATACTAGCCGTATTTTAGCCTTACCACTATTTCATCAGTCTTAATATTAATAAATCACAATTACAATATAAAAAAATTTAATTTGGATTCCTAAACATTTTAGTTTTTGTAAATATAATTCTTTATATAAGCATCACCAAAAATAATGAAAATTAACTTTTTTTTATTTCTATAACCTTATTTGATGTTAAATTCATCAGAATTCTTTGAAAATCATTAAAACAAATGTTCAAAGTGTTTAACATTTTTTTTGTTGAAAAATTGAAATCCAACCAATGTTAAGTTAATAATTTTAGTCTTATACTGAAGCTGGTACCAAAAAGAAAAAATAAGAGATAACTTCAATAAAATTTTATTTACTTATACAATATTGTAAATTATAGTTTGAATAAATGATTTATATAAACTGTATACTAGTTGTACACAAAGTTAAGAAAATTATAGTTCTTATTTTTAATCATATATTAAAAGTGGTAAAAAATAAATTTAGTATCCAAATTTTTTTAACTTTTGTCGATGGATATAATTTTGTATAATAAATTATGCTTTTAATTGATATATGATTGAAGAAAATACTATTATTTATTTTTGCTTGAATTATGAAATTAAATTTGGGAATGATTTATGGAACCCAACCGAAATCCTCTACAATTTCTTTGATCAATATTGATTATTTCACATTGTGAAGATATTGTAGTTGCTGTTGAACTATTTGGCTACTGCGTAATAAATATATATTTTACAATTAGTACATATTGATGTTAAATTAGTGTATTATATTGTTGCTAAACTTTAAAATACACTTAATACATTTAGTTAAGTTAATTGTACAATAGTCAGATGGCCTACCTAGCTCAGTTAATAAAGTGTTGTGCTTTAAATCGTAGGTATTAGAGTTCAATTTTGTTGAGCTGGGTATGTAGGTTTTTTCGTCCTATCTAGCACAAGCAAAAGAGTGGACGTTAATGATAAATATATAAAAATTATCTGATTTTGAAAAATAATATATATTCTAGAAACACTCTAAATTAGATTGAATAATAACTACAACTATAATAACTAATTTGAATTTTTCTTTTCCTGAAATATAATTTAGGGGAGACTGGGTCACATATGAATCTGGAATAAAATTGAATAAATAATAAAACTAGTTGTACCTATAGTTATCTCTACTAGTTTTATTTAATCAATTCAAATTTACTCAAGTCTCTCTTTATTAAATTCAAATGAATAAATTAAGGTTATCTAACAATTTTTTTCAATTGAATCTCAAAAAAATGCATGAACAACTAAATATTCAAATATTATTATTCATTTCAAGTGGGGTGTGTGTTTCATCTCCTTAACTCCCCTGATTGCACACTGTAATTTTTTTACAAAGTATATGTTTTATTCTATCTATAATATCAATTACTTTACTTATATCGTTGCATAATGTGTAAGTATATTCTTATATTCAACGTTTTATAAACGTATCAAGGGTCATAGCGGCTTCCCCAAAGGAATAGGTTTTTTAACCATTGATACTTCAGGACGAATGGTTTGTCCGTCTCCGGAGAAGGAAATGGCGACTCCAATCACTGGATTGATCTCTCGCACGGCAAATGAAGCCGCCCGTGACCGAATTTCGAACTCGATGCAGTGCGCGTGGAGCACTACAGCGTTACCGACTCAGCCACACCGTCCTTCTAATATGTTCATATAGGAATATAATTTGTTTTAAATTAAATGCGTTTCCCGATTAATGATAATGTTATATTCTGATATAATTTGTTGTTCATAGATCAACTGCCAGTTGTTTGCGTGATACTTACAGCATAGGAGTTGCTCGTTTATATTATCATCATGCATATTTTACGTTCATTGATAATAATTGTAAGTTTAAAATTGAATTTATTATATTGGCGTTATTTTGTAAAAGTACGTTTTCTAGACATCAATATGTACACTACAAGTATACAGCAAAACTGTAGATTCTTCTCAAGCTTCAAATATTTTGGTTTTTTTCCCGAATGGTATTAAAAGCCATTTTATAGGATTTAAAACTCTATTTGAAGCTCTCGTTGACAAAGGACATAACTTGACCCTAGTTTCGCCATTTTCATTGGGCGAAACAAAACATCCATATTATCATGTTGATATTGAACAAGAACAGAAAATGGATATTCCAGGTATGAAATAATTTTAAATATTTCATTCTTATTATATAATAGGTATTCAGAATTCATCTAGTGTGATTATAGACAGATGTGTTATATAACGCTGCAGATTAATTTTTATTAGAAAAGTTTGAGGTGAGATCAACAGTATTTAAATTTTTTCGGGGTTCGGGATTAAAATGTTTTTTTATTTAACGTTTAAATATATTATAATGTTATTTTATAATTGAGTTCAATAGTATTCAACATTTAAACGTTACACAATTTTTAATATTAAAACGTTATTAAAATGTTTTTTTATGACGTTACTGCATTTTTACACGTTAACGTTAAATGGGTTTAAAACATAATTCACTACCATAAGCAGTTTTTAATATGGACATTGACTACATTTTTCTTACATAGAGTTGTTTTAAATATGACGTTTGAAAAGAATTTCTTTTTGTTTTAATAATTATTTTTTTGATTACGTTTTGACAAAATTTTTCGTTTTAAATGTTATGATTATAATCTTATTCGCTTTAATTGGACGGACTAATATTATTAACAGATTCAGTATATCAACCTGTAACACGACGAGAAACATATTAAATTTTTTATAAAATTAATACATTCAAAATTAATAACCGATAAGTGTAGAACTACCTTTTCAACTTATATCAAATCTTAAGCCCCCTTTTAATGATTTTTCATTAAATATAATAATTCTACATTCACAATTATTAAGCAATTTTAAATGTATTGAGTACTATACACTATAGTTATATATAAAGTGATTGATTAATCGTTAATCACTAAATTTTTCCTAAAATAATAAATTTAACACAAGTTTATTAACATTTTTTAATTTATAATATTTTTATCATTGTTTATTTCTCTACCGCACTACTCCTTCTACCCATATGTAAAAATATTCATAACTCCTGAACTACTTGTTCAAAAATTGTTATCAATTTATCATTTTCTTAATTATAACACTATTTAATGAAAGAGATAATTAATTATGTATGTTACCATTTAAAACAATGAAGTTGATAACCTTATAAGAAATAAAGAATGAATTAAATAAATATAGTTTAAAAAAAACTAAAAAAACACGCTTATAAAGCATATCGAACTAAAAAGTTAAAAATAATTTTAAAAATAAGCTTAAAACAATAATGAACAAAAAATACTAGTATTATTGTTTTAATCTTATTTTTAACTTTTTAGTTCGATATGTTTTAAAAGCGTGTTTTTCAGTTTAAAACTATATTTATTTTTCTCTTTTTAGTTTTTTATGACATCGCTGTTACAGTCACAGAGTGTTTATTGTCAATTATCACTACCAATGGATATAATTTCTGTATTGCCAGTTAGTGTGTTTATAAACTCATAACAATGTGTCTTATTACCATTGATAATAAAGGCTATATGCTTGCTAATATCGTCATAAAAAACCAGTTAGCTACCTGTATTTGTAATCCCTTAAGTATTATACATGTATATTAACTCAAAAAAAATTGAATCTTTAAATGTTTATATCTAATAATAAACAATAAAAATTTGTTTATATATATATATATATAATGTTCATTATACGCTCGCATGTACGGGTACGAAAACCAAAAATTATACACTTAATTAATCAAAATAAAAACAATACTAAGAATTTATTTAAATTCATGTTGAATTTTTCTAGGTGGAACTATGTTTGATTTCGCTAAAATATTAAATTTAATAATAACACCAATACAAATAAATTGGTTAGGGCCTTTGATCACTGAAATGTCTTTAAATAAAACAGCTATAAAGAAATTCATAGCTGAAGATCAAACTCCTTTCGATGTAATTATATTTGAAAATTTTTACCACGAAGCATTTGTAGCTTTGGGGTATAAGTACAATGCTCCTGTTGTTCAACTTCTTCCTTTTGCGACCAACGCTCGAGTATCTCAGTGGAATTCCAACCCTTACAACCCAGCTTATATAACGGATATTACGTCTTCATTTCCTTCAAACATGACATTCGTACAAAGATTGATCAATACAGTATCGGTATTCTTGTATACTGCGTTTAATAGGATAGCATATATTCCTCAACAAGAAAGACTAATGAACAAGTATATGACTTATGTTGGACATGAGAATCGACCAAGTTTAGTTGAATTATTACGCAATATATCTTTGACACTTATTAATACTCATCCTGTAATCGGATATCCCTATCCAATGATACCGAGTTATGTGCACGTTGCTGGTATGCATTGCAAGCCTCCAAAGGAATTGCCTGAGGTAATTATAGATTTATCGCGCTTTTTATAACCACGATTAATGTTTCTTTAAAATATAGGATTTAAAGACCATAATGGATACGTCTAAAAAAGGTGTTGTATATTTTAGCTTAGGATCTGTAATTCGGTCAGCGGATATGCCAAAAGAAATACAATCAATGTTACTCTCGGAACTATCAAAAATTGAACAAACTGTTTTGTGGAAGTGGGAAGGTGACAAATTACCTCAGTTACCCAAAAATGTGATTGTACGCAAATGGTTCCCACAAAATGACATATTAGGTTTGTATAGTTTTTAAATAATTTCAATAGAGGTTATTTTATAATTTAATTTTCCCCTTTATAATATTCAATTTTTTTCAAATGCTTTAATGTGTTTGAAAAAAATATATTTCTCTTATTATAATTCTGTTATTATTTTATTATAATAATTATATTATTTAATATTGAACAAATTCTGTATAATTTTAAACATAATAAAAGATTAAGCCTTAGTACCACAGATTGTGGTTATTAGTTTATCAAATGTACACTGAATGTAATAATAATAATATATGACAAAAATTACAAAAGAGCCCGGGAATCTTTCATGACTTATATTAATTACACGTTTAAAAAAAATGTTTGAATTTTTATATGTGTGTACTGGAAGTTTTTAAAACTTATAATATAAGGAAATATTTAGACAAATAGTGAAAAAAATGTTATATTTGTGTGCGAATTTTCGATATTTCATGTCAAAATTACACATATTTTTAATATATTACACAGTTTATTATAATTATCATAATAACTCATGGTACTTTTAATATCATTTCTTACAGTGAAATAAAATGAATTTTTCTAATTTCTTACTTTTAAAACAAGGGACGGTGGTCGAGTATTTAAAGTAGCAGTTCCTGATGCTTAGATTCAAGACTAGGTAACAGGCATGGCTCCGTTTGCTGAGCAAGAGGTCAGTTCAATAATTAAAGTCGATGTTTCTCTCTTTAGTGTCGGACTAACCACCAGTCTCGGAACTCAATAAGTTAAGATACTTTTTCTTTTAAAAAAGTCTTTAATGCTATGATCCTTATTAGACTACAAAAAGTTAAAAAAATAATTTATATAGTTAGTATACTTTATTTCATAAATAAATTGATAACTCTTAAGAGGAATAATAAAAATGTTAAAATATTAAATTAATAGATAACTCCATAAAAGTATATAGTCGATTTTTTTTCAACATTTTGAAGATAAATTTCTAAAATAATGTTGAAATCAAGTTCAGTTAAAGAATATTGTTGAGTTTAGGCCCGTATTAAGAGGGCGTAATAGGGGTCGATGGTCCGGGGACTCATCTAGAATTTTACTAGCCTATTCATAATTAGCTCCAGAGTTTTTCTGGTTTTTTTTTTTGGCTTATCACTTTTTTGTTATGATAGCGATAAAAATATCATAAAAATTTTTTCAAAAAGTGATTTTTAAATAAAGAATATAAAATTTTAAATCTGATTATCTGTGAAATAAATTTCTTTTAACTCGAATATGTGAGTGTGGCTACTGATTTTCAAATCGTTTTTATTCTAAACGTTATTTTTTTAATTTAAATTTAACACTAACTATACGAAATGATTCAAAATCACCATACGTCCCATACGTAGTCCGTGGGCTTATCCACCATGTACAGCAATATTCATTTCTAAAATGAAATGATAAAAAAAGAAAAATGTATATTTTTACCCCTATTGATCAATTTTGGTCACTACGTATTGACGTATGATATTTTTAATAAACACGTAAACTTTGCATACCAGTAATTTTGACGTAAAATATCGACATTTTTTCTTTAGAGTGTAATTTTATTATAATCTAAATCGTTTATTCTTAACAAATAGAATGACTAAAATATTATTTTATGAGAAAATTATTTTCGAAAAAGTAAGTTATGACGTCTATGCAATTATTAACTCATATTTATTCTATCTTTACTAAGTCGTCTAAATAATTAACTAGTTATAAATTTAAAATAAACTAACATCGTTTAATTAGTTTTTGTCACTATAATTTGTAGCACACCCAAAATGTAAATTGTTTATAACACATGGCGGTATACACAGCATCATTGAAGCTGTTCATTTTGGAGTTCCCATGTTGTCCATGCCTGTTTTTGGAGATCAAGAAGGAAATTCACTTCGAGCTGAATATAATGGAATAGCTATAAAAGTGCCTTATTTTAGTTTAACTCACCAAGCTTTTGGTGATGCTTTGCACAAACTTTTAAATAATCCAAGGTATTTTTTCATAATTTTAATAAAAAATATAAATTAGAATTTGTCTAAAGTTGTTTAATTTATTATTTCAGTTATGCCTTAAGTGCTAAAAAAATATCAGCAATTTTTAAAGACGAACCTTTAACACAATTAGAAAAGGCTATATTTTGGATAGAGTATGTGATAAGACATAAAGGTGCAGCACACTTAAAAACTTCAGCCAACGAACTTTATTGGTTCCAATATTTGTTACTTGATATATTTTTTTCTATTTCATGCATTCTTTTGATTTCATTTTATGTTATCAAAAAATTAGTTAAAAGGACTTGTAAAATTTGCTCTAAAGAAAAAACACCCAAAAATAAAAAAGACCAATAATTCATTAAAACTATTGTATTTTTTAATTCATTTTTAAATAATAAACAAATTTTTTATTTTTATTGGTTTTAATTAGATTTATTACTTTTAATTTTTGTAACATAGTACACTTCTGTTAGATCATTTTTTTGTATAATTTCTTTTACCAAACATACTTAGAAAACTGTTATTTGATTCACTTAAAAATACAGTTTGGTTTACCACTATGGAATTCTAATCAGATAAGATTGAAAAGATAGTTTGGATAAAATACAAATTAGATTTTTATACATAAGATATAAAGTTAAAATGATAAATAAGCCTTTAAGTAATATAGATAAGTTATATAACTTAGAACCTATATTACCATGACAGAAAACTTTTCATAAAAATGATAAACAATAAGACAATTTGTCCAAAAAACTTGCAACATTTTTTTATTGTACCCATTTATAATATTCGTCGCCATCTACCATACAACCAGTTGCACTGACTAAACTATGTCAAATTTAGTTTGTTATGCTGTATTTTCTCATTAAGTTACCAAATTAATATGTAATAATTTAAATATTTTGTGTAAAAATTTGTGTATAATAATTAAAAATCTAATTTTATTGTATTTTATGTGTCGTTTTATCAACTTTTTATATTTTATTACTTTTTTAACAATATTACCCTTAAGGATATTACTTATTTATAAGAATTTTTATTAATATTATTAAATTAGTGATTACATTTAAAAAAATAAAAGAATTAAAAGTAAATTATAATGCAATAATTTTACTTTTATTCACAAACAAGTTTCAAAGTACTTGATTCATCTAAAAACATACTCTTTTTTTTTTTCACAAACATATATGAACTCCACCAGTCTAAATAATAATAAAACTCAATGGAATTTAAATTGTTTTAATTATTAATTTCAATACACAAAAAAAAAATTATCTTAACTCCTCTCATTTTTCAATAATGGTCATAAAAAATAATTTAATTGTAAGGCAATTAAATTAGATCGTTTTGATGTCGAATGCGACAGTAAAGTTTACAGTGGTTGTCTTAATAGTTTTTATTTAATAAACAACACTTCTTTTAATTAAAAATTTATTTAAAATAATATTAGCCATAAGTGATCAATTCTTATTATATAGATATGATTATAACAATTATTGTACTATTGTTAAATGCTTTCTATTAATAATTAATAAATATTGATCAATAAGTTAAATAAATAATTACTTATAAAATATTTCGTTATTTTTTGAACCTTAAGTAGTTAAAAATAAAAATAATTATGACTAATATACAGAGTATGTCACAAAGATATGACAGTTCTAATAACTTATAATCTAATAATTATTTATATTTTTATCAATTTTTGTATTTTCAGACTACATTAATAATATATTTTTTATTATTTGTCTATAATAAAAACAAAAATTATAAATTTTTTTTAAAATTAAAAATAGCACTTTTTACACAATTTTGATAGTTTAATAAAACTAAAAAATATTGTAATTTTTTTCTTATTAGAGACAAATAATAAAGTATATGTTTTTAACTTAGTCTAATAAGTCAATGATTATTAAACAAAAAAAAATGTCCAAAACATGATTATATCAAAAGTTATTGGATTTTTTGTTGTATTTCCACGGCGAACTTTATAAAGATCTATTTTTTTACATATTTAAGCGTTTGTGTTTGTTCGTTTTCATAAAATTATAGATTTGCCTTGTTCAATATTTACAAAATTATAAATTTAAATATACAAAACTACTAATATTTTGAAATATTAACATCTTAAATTTTATATTTAATAATAAACAAATAAAATTTCATATATTTTAAAACTACAATTCTCCATGACTTCTTCGTTCAATCCATGGGTCAAAATCAATATTGTATTCGTCTTTGCACAATAATTTGCTATACTTAAATAAACTAAAATAACATTTATAAGTAATAATAAAATATTAATTTAATTTAATTTAATTTATACTTACTCGTGATCGACGCGTTTGAATGTATCTCTTTGCACGTGATCCACATTGGAAGTAGCACATATTATACTACTCAAACTGATTTTCTTAATTTCATTTATTTGTTCTTGAACAAATAAATTCAAATTAATAAAATATTTTTATTTTTAAATGCATAGTATAGTAGGATAAAACATGACTATAGAGTAAAAGTAGAAAATTACATTAATATAACAATTTTTTTGTTTTTATTGCTAAATATCCTTTTCAATTTTATTGAAACTATCGCACTTCAAATTTTAGTTTGTGTAAGTTGATATATGAAATGATTACTTATATAAGGTTAGTTATTTCATAAAACAGAAACGTATTTATATAAGGTGCGATCGCTCTTAGTATAAGCACTTTTTATGGGGTACATTATTTTACATACATGATTTTTTTTTAATGAACAGAGGCGAATTTATGTCGGTTAAGAGGTACAAGAAGAAAAATTAGCTCCCCACTTCATGTCCGTGTGATTATTGTTATTACAAAAAAACTAATAGTAGGCAATATCTATCTACAATCTTATTATCTGATTTTCAATCACAAGTATTTAAACTACAATGGTTAAATCAGTTTATGTCAGAGTATAAATCCTGACCATGATCAGCATTCATAGCCATGGTATAATATTCCTATTAGTAAATTGTTTGCTTTAATATAGTTAAAACAAAAATTAAAATTAATATATAGTGACTGACCCATTGCACTACTGTACTTCAGCACAATGAGTCGATGATCATTGAGCCTACGACCGATTCTGAGAAGGTGCTGGTGGCCAAGATTATTAAAAATTTAATATTTGTTTTCATTATTTTAATATATAAATGATTTGAAAAAAGATAATTTATTTTTATATTGTACAATTATTAGTTACATAAAAATATTTATAATAAATATAATAAAACCACAAACAGATAATTAGTAAAGTTTTTAGTAATTAGTAAATCACAATATAATCATAGTAAATAAGTAGTCATTCAAGAAAGAATAGAGTATTTTAGTTATTTGTGTTCCAAATACTTATACACGACTATAAAATTGTTAAAGATTAGTAAAAGCGTATAACTGAATATTATAAGACTTATAACGCAGTATTTTTCTCTATTCCCGTTATCGCCACTAAAACCATCACTAAAAATTTAATTTATATATAATACCTGAAGAAAAACTTCCTGGTTGACCCGTAACATCATAAAAAAATCGATCTCCGACCTTAGATCTGTAAAAATTATCAGCAATTATACATCTAGCTGTAGGACCTACAATAGCGTCATCTTGAGGTTTTTCTAAAAGCAACCCAACCATAAGATCAATGTCATCAACTGTTTGGTAATGTGTTTTTAATTTTTCAATATGCTAAAAATATATTAAAATATGTATTATAAAATAATTCAACTTTTTATCAAGATAATGTGTATTAAATCTATTAAAGCTAAGATAATGTTAATTATTAAGGAAAGATAATAATCGAAAATAACAATATTTATTCTGAATATTTAAAAATTTACCTTAATATGTATAACATCTCGTAAGTCTTCAAAATTAGATGCAAGTGGTAATCCACAAATATGTCTCATTATATTATAAGGCTGCATACCTGCATCACGACCTCTCTGTATATCAAAAGATAGTAAATCACTACCTGTGTACCTCGGGTGGAAGGCAAATGAAAATATGTAATTTGATATCTAAAATAAAGAATTAATGTATAATACTAAATGATCAATGTATTCATTTTTTAGAAAAACTAACAAAGAAATTATAAGAAGGTTGTGACACACGCATTGGTGTTTCTAAAAAACCTCTTATAAACTTATCGTAGTTATCATCAGCTAAAAGTAAGTTAGGTTTACTCATCCAATCAGTTATAATAAATGTTGATTCTTCAGTGTAATTTTCATTTATTAATCTTAAAATCACAAATATTTAAAATAAATAAACAATTTCTTGTTCTAATATCTAAGAATTTTTTTTTACTTAAAATCAATAGGTACAACATTATGAAGAACTCGAAAAGCGGCTGATGCCATTTCTGCCGAAGTAGATGGATTAACCGTGAGATCATACTCAGTTTGATTTTCAAATCCATACATAGTGTGATAATCTTCTCCTAAAAATTCCAAATAGACACTATGCGTTATGATAAAGTATTTTAATAAATTATTCATAAATATTTAGGTAAATACCTATTACAATTGGCAAAAAATCTTCATATGCAATTCGTTGAATTACAGCTATAACGATCCTACGTGATTCTTGATAAAGTGTTTCATCATCCCATTGAGGATTCAAAATTAATAATTTTGACGCTACAAAATTATGAAACCTCACTACCATAGTTTGAATGACCGATAATCCCATATTTTGATTACTATCTGAAATATCCCCTTCATTGCTTGAATTTCCTATATTTATAAATAAAAACAAATTATTTATAATATTTGAACATTCATTTCTATAATAATAATTATAATTATATAAGTCTTTCATATGAAAAGTACAGTTTTTCCTTATAAATTTAATAATGTTATTTTACAACACATGGTATGATGTAATTCATAGGCAGTGATGGATTATCCTCTTACAGAGGCCTGAGAAAACTAAATTACAATTAAATTTATAAATTACAGTTTATGCGGACCTTTAAAGACTGTCAGTATTTTTTTAATTGTCAAATTAACTCTATAGTACTATTTGCTAATATATTAATAATAAGTTGCAATTAAAATTTATTATGGTTAACTAAAAAAAATCAAACGTTTCATTAGAGGTTGGGTTTACAAACATTTTTTAATTTTAAATTAATATTTTAAGTATATATTTATTTTTAAATACCATTATTTCCAAGTGATAATTTTTTATTGTTTATTAAATTAATAATTTACATTTAAAACTTCATAACTTTAAAACTACATAAAACTTAGTAATGATGTTTTATAAAATATTTGTAAAACAGATAAAATTTGTTTTAATATGTTAATTAAAATTACATTATAGTATTCTATTGGCATATTACAGCTATATGAAGTTCAAAATAATTCCGTTGTAAGAATTTGCTTCGTTATCCCTTTATATATTATGATACTTGTATTAAATTCAAGTAAAATAATTACTAATATATAAGAGATTTTATAAAAAGATAATCAAAAATTAATAACATACATTATCATTTTCTTAGCCTCGATCCCAAATATTTTTTGTCGGCTCTATCTTATTGATTTGACAGAATATTTACACCGACTGACAGTAAGGGGGAAAGGTATGTATTATTGTTAAAGATCCCGTATAGTACTATTCGGTAACCAATAGCGCTAAAGCGCCAACTTCTTATCAACTGCGCCACACCACGTCTCAATATTAATAATGCCTAATCCAAAAAACTATATAATACAAACCTGTTTCAAATTCTACGGTTTGGTCTGAAGAAATTTCAGGACGTGATTTAATGGATACTATCGGACAAAACACTTGACCATCGTCCCTAATGCTTATTCTTAGCATGCCATTTTTATGAGATCGTAAGTTATGTGCCAATGTGTCATTAAAACCATAAACTTCTGAAGCATCGAGGAAATGTGTATTTTTATTAAACTGAAATTATAATTAGTAAAAAAAAGGTTTATTAAGTGGATTTATTAAATACAGTTAACATACATATTTATAATCAGGAAACGTACATATATGCACTTATACATTTCTGTTAAGCTACTCTGAACAAATCATTGGCTTAGTGAAATGTATTTTAATTAGCTTTAAAACAATGCAATGTGTTAAAATTAATGATACAGTTATGGAAAGGCATTTGTGGAATTTATACTCGCAAAACTAGTATTTTTAAGCTACTATGTGTACTTACAACAAATTTGCACTCATTCGAGTTTTTACAAAGTATGTAAAACAAAATTTATAATTGCATATAAATCGGTTCTTTTTTTATAATTAATTGTTAACAAGAAACATCCAGAAATATTTATAACGTATGAATTAATCTAAAAAATATTTATTTTATTATATGAATTATGTTTTTGAATTATAGTAATAATTATTTCTTTCGTTTTTTCATGTAATAACTTTATTTATATTAAGTTTTAAAATAAATCACTATGTTATATACAGCTATAACAATGTTATAATCTACTATTTTTACATTTTTATAGCTTTTTAATATGGAAGGTATAGTAATGCAATAACATTGCGAAGCCACAAAAAATAAAATAAAAATACTGAGAAGCCATAGAAATGCAAAAATATTGAGAAGCCACATAAATGCATTTATACTGAGAGAAGCCATATAAATTCATTGATACTAGGAAGCCACAAAAATGCAAAAATAAATATACTAAGAAGCCATATAAATGCATTAATACTGAGAATCCATATAAATGCAAAAATATTGAGAAGCCATATAAATGCATTAATACTGAGAATCCATATAAATGCAAAAATATTGAGAAGCCATATAAATGCATTAATACTGAGAATCCATAGAAATGCAAAAATATTGAGAAGCCACATAAATGCATTAATACTGAGAATCCATAGAAATGCAAAAATATTGAGAAGCTACATAAATGCATTTATACTGAGAGAAGCCATATAAATTCATTGATACTAGGAAGCCACAAAAATGCAAAAACATTGGGAAGTCATATAAATTCATTAACTAAATCTAAGATTGGCACAAATTTTATGGGCCGATCATAATCTTATCAAAATAAAAAAAAATTAAAAATCACTATTTACATTTAAAATTTGATTATATAAAATGTCATTTTTAACGTCATTTAGTGGTTTTTTATAAAGTTATAGTTTTACTTTTTCTTAATTCTACCGCCTTAAAACGTTTGAATTTAAATTAATTTAGTGTTTAATAACTATATAATATAATAAAAAACTTTGGTTTTATTTCTTTATAAGAAAAATGTTTAATAATTTTGGTTAACAGGCTATTTAATATAGTTCCTACTAAAATAAAATATAAATATCTGAGACAAATTAAAAAAATGCATGATGTTTTTACCTATCATTTAGTGTATTTTTTTTTATATGTGACCCTTTAATTGCCCACAGGGGGGGATTTAAAATGACAACTTTTTCACAAAAAATTAATTTTTTCAACTTGATTTTTGAAAGTGTTCCGGGAAGTCTGACACTTTTATATATACCTTAAATTAAAGCTTATAAAATATATTTCATTATGGAAAAAAAAATTCAGATTTTATTTTGTCTTCACGGTGAAAATGGCTACCATATGCTATTTTTGTGTGAAAATTCTTGATTTTATATTTTACATTTTTAACTTTATTATACTATACATTTTTGAAAAATGTATGGATCAATATAATTTTTCAATGAGAAGTAGTATTTATATACATCTTTCATTCGACATATTTTTTTTTTAAATAACACCATTTTTCTTTATATATTTATAAATATTACACTATTATACAATATTACAATATTATTTATATATATTAAACTTATTAATAATAAAAATTGTAATCAGGATATAAATAAGGAAATAAGAGATGATGTAGCTTTTGGAATAATCCACCAATTTTGTAAAATTAAACACTATCTACAGATTTTTATCGAAACGTTTTTTATAATAGTGATTTTAATCACTGTCTGATATCATTATACTTGATCCAACTATGCCACGTCACCACTGTGCTGGGTATTTATTTTGTATATAGACGTGCCATAGTTGGGACAAGTATAGATAATATCTAACAGTGATAAAAATCACTATAAAAGAAACGCTTCGATGCAAATCTGTAGATAATGTAATTTTAAGAAGTTGGTAAATTATACCATAAGCAAAATTAACTCCTTTTTTTGTTTTACTTCGATTGTCATTTGCACATTGAAAATGGGTCGTCGGTACAATTTTTTTTTAACTTTTAGTACATAAAATATGTTTTATTTTAACATAAATATTATTATATTATATTAAATATTTATATTATAAAGACTCAGTATTCCCGGAACATTTTCAAAAGTTAAATTGAAATAGTTCTATATTTTATACAAATTATGAAGTTTTCAAAAATTCAAAAAATCTTTTCTTAACATTGAAGAGGCAAAATAATCAAAATAAATATAAATTTACATTTAATGTGAGTTGGATAATTTTAAATTATATATTTATTGGTAGACTCATTACTATGGGAAACCCTTATAAGGTATATAAAGTGAATGAACAAAAAAAAATAAAATTTGAAAAAAAAATTAGCATATTTTTTAATTACGGCAGTCATTTGCATAAAGAAGAACAATTTTTTTATTTGATTTATAGTAAGTAAAATAAATTTTAATTTGTTATATGTTTTAAGGACGCAGTATTTTCGGAACATTTTCAAAAATTAAGTTGAAAACGTTGAGTTTTGTAAAAAAAAGTTGCTATTTTGAATCCCCTCTTGTGTGCTGGTTAAGGGTCAATTTTACAAAAATATTATAAAAAAATAAAGGAGAATTACTTATGGTTATAAAATAAAAAAGGATTATTTGTTCATTTTTCAATAAGTTATGGCGATTTTAAAAATTATAATTTTGGGGGTTTTCAAAAATTTACGGTGAACGAAGGGAAAATTTACAATTTTTGTAGGTAAAGTCTAAAACTAGATATTATTTGTGATTTTTGACGTATCGTTGAGAAAAATCGGTCCAGTGAAAAATGAGAAAAATTAGTGACACACACAAAAAAAAAAAAAAAAAAACGTCATAGTAAAATTTCTCAGCTTTGTATGGAAGGTAATATCATAAAGCATTCTTTGTGAAAACAATTTTTATAGTTAAAGATTTTTCTACAATTAAGTTTTATGTTTTTTTTTTTAATAGTATAATTTGTAAGATAATTAACGAAACGGAAAAACTATCAATCGAAGTTTTGACCCTCTTGTGGTACACATCATCATTAGTCAATTTCACTAAAGTGTTAACTAAATTCTCATTTATAATAGAACAACTCAAGGGGCTTATTAAAAGAATTTTTAAAAAAATGTGACGCATTTAGCTAAAAATCGCTCTAATAATTATTAGAGTTTATAATAATTATAATAAAACAAAGTGTCTTAGAGTTATGCATTAAACTTACAAATGTAGTCGGTGTTAATGAACACCCAAAATCAGCTGATGTCTTTGCTCGGGTGTTTCCTATACAAGTTATGTTATGATTTCCATATACAGGGTCATCATTGTCAACTTCAACCGACTCAATACAAGATGGGTATTTTTTTATCATTTCAGATACTGGACAACAATCAACGATTTGACCTTAAATAAAATATTTAATTAACCGTCATAAATAAGGCTTTAGAAAGAAAGTAACTTAAATTTACCATTCGGGTCTTGTAATACTTTTACAGGTAGACTCGAAATATCATGTGCTATCATTTGACCAAATGGTACAATAAATAAGTTATTATCGTCTATTAGTCTTTTTTCTTGATTCAAAAATATGTCCAATTGTAATTTTCTACTGTTAGGCAAAGGTAAACCATATTTTTGTGTACGGAAACTGTTAATACCTAAATATTTCAAAATACAATATTAAAATAAACAGTAAGGAAAATATTCCTTGTTACAATTTAAAATGTACCATCAGAGTAGTTTGCGTTCATCAAACGGAAATACGGAGTTTGTGCTGCTCCGTATGTAGGTATAGCTAAATTATTGCAAGAACCATTATAACTCCTATATTTCTCATTCGGATTACATTGGACTACTGGAGCACATAATTTTAAGTATGTTTCATTGTAAGTGGCTACACTGCGTATGTGTAATGGATTAGATGATGTACTCAATGGTATCTATAGACAGTCCATTAATGTAATTATAAAAAAAGATTATAACTAAATATAGAAATGCAGTAAATACAATAAATCAGTTACTTTTAAAATAGCATCATCATTTTTTGTACCGTGATAAAATGAAATGAAAAGAATAATGAAAGCAATTATCAAAAGTATACATATCAACCACAATATTTTCCACAAATACAC